ATAACAAAAACCTACGTGGAACTATGCAAAAAACGCATCTTCACACCGGCAATCGGTGCGCTGGCCAATTATTTTTCACTGTAAACGAAACCCACTTAGCAGACGATACAAATCGAAAAAGAATCGAAATCTTTTTTTGTAATATTTCCGGATTTTTCGAGACATGATGTGTTGTCCACTCCACTACCAGCCGTTGTGTTCCACACAATAATTGGACTATTTATGCCATCCACATGTTACTTTATAGTGTCTGGCGCTACTACCACGAGCAGCGCACACTTTTCAGTTTTGTGCTAGCTTTTTGCAGATATGCGATTGTGCTTGATGCTATCAGATTTTGTGTCCAACTCAGCCTCGACGTTGCTCGGCTAGTAACCACTTCCGTGCCACAGTAAGGCACAGGTCGGAATTTTGTGGAGAGCACAAAATACATTATCGAATTATTGTATTGCACACTACGAAATATATTATTGTCCTATTCTACTTTATTATTGTGTAATTGCTGCAGCTGTTGCACGTATAAAATAATGCATTGGTAGTTACGTCTTTTTTGGTTGCAAAATAAATAGGCACTGCGAACTTCAGCCGAGTATTTTTATATAGAAGAGCTGCCAATTGACGTAAATTTCACAGTACCGTCTGCCCCCAAAGAATCGAAGTGAGGTCATGACCAATAGAGTAAAGACCGTCCGGAGTGTTTCTTCATGACCGTATAATCAATCAGACTTACCAAGCTGTGTGCAGGATATCACGGAATTGTATGAGAAAAAAAAATTCGCTGTACAGTGGCAACCAGCAAACATCGCATTTTAATGAGTGGTACCTTAGAGAAGGCAAACGACTACTCAGGTAGCCTCAAAGAGATGGCGCGCATATGTCGAACAGGCGGCAAGTACTAACTCGAGGTATTCAGCTCAGGATCGAGGAGCCTGGCACAGTTGCGCCTGGCGTGTTGGAACATCCCAGCAACAATGTTCACAACAGGCGTTCTTCGTATTCTTGATATATTGTATAAATTATCGCACATATAATGTAATAGTGTAATACTGCATTTGTGCGACTGTGTAAACGAACCAGATCTGCTTAAGAAAGAAAATTGGATCTTTCTTATGCCTCGACTACAGCTTCGTCTGATTTCTGGAATTGTTCCTTGAATGTACCGAACGTCGAATAACACTTACTTAAATGCCAATCGTATCAGCTCTTGGTCAGTCTCCTTGTTCATTTCTTTCATCATTTTGCAAAATTCAAAAAAATCAATCTTTCCATTTCCGTCAACATCGTATTCGTTAACCATGTTGAGGAGCTCCTCCTCGGTTGGATTCAGTCCCAAAGTACGCATTGCTACACCGAGCTCCTTGATGTTCATTGTCCCATTACCATCTTTATCAAACATCTAAATCATTTCCGCCGCTGTCACGCAAATTATCACACGAAATTTGTTGAATATGTAAAATAATCAGTAGCTGTACTGTTTGACCTCAAACGTAAATAGGATGCTACGTCCCAGTCACGCAGCAGTTAACACCAGAGTAAGGAAATGAAAACGTAAAAGTAAAATAATCAAGCAAAGAAAAGAGAAATATAATGCTTTAAACTGCGGTGCAACCGTGATGAGCGTGAAGCTAGCAGCTGATCTTTTTGAGCTTGAATTGCCTCGAAGTTTTCAAAGCATGCTTACAATAACGTGATAAACAAAGTCGAGGAGCGTTCAGCAAGTTGACGTTAAATTGATCTGGACTAGCTGTAACAAATAATATTGAAATGGGCGGGAAGGCGGAGAGGAAGGGGTAGGAGGTGGAAATTTAGCAAGCAGCGAAGCAAAGTTGACAGGGATGCACGTATTCGCGCTGAAAATAATTTTCAAACCCAAGCGTCAAGATCACTTAAAAGCGAATACTAGCAAAAACAGAAATGTAGCGGAAGTTTTGCAAAAAGACGGCAAAAATTTTACGTGCTTTATAATGAATGCAGGATCAGAAGGTTGGGTAGTATGCATGGAGACGACACAAGTACAGGTAATAAATGCTCCGCAAAGTGCGTGGAGCGCAAGGGTCGATGGTGTAGCAAATAAACACGCAGCATTTAGATACGGAAAGGAGTGTTCCGCATTTGCTGTCGGTTCACAACCATTTTCAAAAGGGGGCTTCATCCAAAACAGTAAAGCCGACCTACGCAGTGCGGCGCTTCTCAAACAATTAAAATTTTTTGCAGGATGGCGAAATGTTAGCGAGCCAAGGCGATGGAACTTTTTGAAAGTTATGTGCGGTTGTGTGGGAAAATAGGCGAAGAAATAGGTAAAAACGCAATGAAAATATAAGTAAAGAAAAAGATAAATGGCCAGTGTATCGAAAGCCGGTGCGAAGATGCATTTTTTGCATAGTTCCCCGCTTCTAGCTAGACGAATTGAGGCTGGCCACCAGGGCTGTCTGAAAACATTCCTTTAAAAATTCAGCCTTCTAGCTTTCCTGGTTTCCGAGTTAGTAACTTACTCACAAAAAAATTTCACCGGCTCGTGCATAGGAACAATGCATGCCCGAAAAATGGGTATTAACTCATTAAGACCTATGTGGACGTGGGACATCCCCTTAAAATTTCAGTCTTCTAGCTTTTCAGGTTCTCATGTTGGCAGCTTGCCCGAAAAAAATTTTGGCGGAACCGTACATGGATACCACGCCGGTAAGAGCGTCTGTTATGGAGATGGGGGCCTGTACACGCATATAGATTAAGTTCCCAAAGTTTCAGTCTTGTAGCTTTTGTAGGTCTCGAGATGAAAAATCGGTATGGACGCACAGCGCACAGTCAGGCAGGCACACAAACACACAGACAGACACACACACAGACAACCCAAATTGTCAATATGCGTTTTCTGCATTGCATAGATGCAAAAAACGCATAAAAAAGAAACAGAAACAGCTTGATGTGCATTGTAATTACAAGGGGATCGAGCGAAAAGTGAAATCTAAGAATATCTGAAATATTTTTTATGCGTTTTTTGTATCTATGCAATGCAGAAAATGCATATTGACGAAAAGTTGTGTGTGT